CGTGTGCCCAATTCTGCTGTCCGGCCCTGAGACATCTGTGCAATGAAGTTGCTGAGGCTCCAGAACCTTTCGCCCCCATAGCCTGGCGCGTGGCCAGGAGCACCCCAGTGTCCACAGCCTGGGTGTCCTTTGCAGAACCACAGGTGGGGCTGATTTCACTGCTGCCAAACCAGCCCAACTGCCGGCAGCGCCCCGCCCTTCTCAGGTGCACTGCCCTTGCGGAGGGGCGCGCCCAAGTCGGAAGTTCGGTTCTGCTCGTATCTGTCCTGTGACTTGTCAGAAACCTCTGGGCTGACTTCAAAGACTCTGTGTACCCCACCCTGAGCCTTCTTCAGCCTCAATTAATTCCCTCTGTGCTACAGTTTGGACTCTTGGCCTGACCTGGTCTAGCACACCACCCCTCTTCTGTTCGCTTCCACCTAAAATCCTCCTGGTTCCGGCTCCCCTGCCCTTCTTCCTGAAAGCCTTCCCAGGTTGCCCAGGTCTGTCCTGTCTGTTGAGGCACTGAGCACGCCTGGCCATGGTTGTCCATCAGGAGGACAGGAGTGGGTCTGCATTTGGTTGGGGCATTGAGTGGAGTTCTTGGGGCCCCAAGGACAGGACCTCCTGGGCCCTTTACTCTCCCAGCCCACCAGGCATGGGGCTGGGTGTGCGGGGAGGCTCCTGAAAAACTGGCGCAAAGAATGAGAGGGCAAGGTGTACCTGCCCATTGCTTCCTGTGGCTGCCTGTGCCCCACCCCCCAGACTCCAGCTGGGTCCCGTGGCAGAACCAGTGTCTGGGGGCCATGGCCCCCAGTTCCCCCGGGTCTCTTGTGCACTTCCCCTTTCAGTGGGTATTTTTAGCTGGGTATAAACAGTTACCAAAGGCTCCCATGCCCCATTAGGCAGTGGAGTTTTGGTGAGGGGGAAGGGCAGGAGCCCCTTGACCTACCCTGGCCCTTAGCACATGCTTGGCTGTGGGGGTCTAAAACTGTCCCTAGGGCAGGGAAGTGGCAGCCCAGGAGTTTCTGGTTCCGATCCCTACCAGCCTGGGCTCCCAAGAAAGGCCTGCCTGAGGCTGCGGCCACTGACCTCAGTACTTGGGCACAATGCCCAGTCTGTTCCCGGGACCCTAGCACAAGGACTGCTGGGATCAGGGTTTGGGGCAGGAAGTCCCTGCCCCATAGCCCTATGGGGGTGGGGTGACAGCTGCTGTCCTTTGGGGTTAAGTATAGTACCATCGGTTATAGGACTTAAGTGTGGTGCAGCCAGCCTAGCTTCCCTCTTTCCTTTGTTGATTCATTCATTCATTCAGCACTCTGGGCCCAGCCCATGCTGGGGCGTGAGTCAGCCCCCAGCTTTTCCCCTGAGAGCTGGCTGCCAGTCCATGATCAGTGGAGTTCCGACTGCAGCCCAGGGATGTGTGAGAGGCGTGGAGGCCCAGAGCAGCCAGCACAGCTGGGGGCACGGGAAGCTCCTGGCAAAAGTGGCTTTCAAAAAGTTCTTTATTTTCATTCTTACTTTTAGAGGGAAGGTAATACATGAGTGTGGTTTAAAAAAAAAAAAAGCTAAGGACAATATTAGCAAATACACAGTGAAAAGGAAGTTTCCCTTGAATTTAATACTCTCTTCCCACTCCCATTTCAGAGGCAGCCTCTCTTAATCAGTTTCCTCTGTCTTTCAAAGATAATCTGCATATCTGAGTTTAGGGAGGAATTGCATATCACTTTAAAAACACAACCGGTAATATACCATGGACAGTGTCCCTTGCCTTGCTCTTTCTTACTTTTGAGTATTTCAAACCTACCAAAAAGCTGAAATAATAATATAATGAATACCTCCATACATCCTTTACCCAAATTCACTAGTTCTAAACATTTTGCTATATTTGCTTTGCCTTTTCTTTCATAGATATAGACATGTGTGTATATGTTTTCTTTTTTTTTTTTTAAGAGAGGAAGAGAAACATCAGTGTGGTTGCCTCTTGTGTACCCCCTACTGGGCACCTGGCCTGCAACCCAGGCATGTGTCCTGACTGGGAATCAGACCAGCGACCCTTTGGTTCATAGGCCAGCACTCAATCCACTGAGCCACATCAGGCAGGGCTGTTTCATTTTTTTACTGGTATATTTGAGTGTTAGTTAAGGCATCATACCTTTTACACCCAAGTATTTTAGCATGAATCTCTTAATAATCCCAGTATTGTGGTCACTCTTAATATTATATAACATTTCTGCCCTGGCTGGTGTGGGTCAGTGGATTGAGTGCCAGCCTGCAAACCAAAGATTCTCCAGTTTGATTCCCAGTCAGGACACACACCTGGGTTGTGGGCCAGGTCCCTAGAGGGAGGGCGAGAGGCAACCACACATTGATGTTTCTCTCCCTCTCTTTCTCCTTCCCTTCTCCTCTGTCTAAAATGAATAAAATCTTAAAAAAGGAAAATAAAAAAGTATATAACATTTCCATTTCCCCAATTGTCCCCAAATGATTTTTGTAACTATTTCTCCCTCTGATCCAGAATCCAATTCAGAGTCACTCGTTGAATCTTAGGTCATGTTTCTTTTTTCCAACTTTATTGACATGTAATGTTATATGTTTAATGTGCAAAATGTAATGATTTGATATGTGTATATAGTGTAAAAAGTTACCACAATATGGCTAATTAACACATGCTTTACCTCACATAATTAGCAGCTTGCTGTCTCATGTTTCTTCTGTGTCTTATTTAATCTGGAGCATTCCCCAGCCTTTGTTTGTTATGTCCTTTATGACACTGACGTTCAGAGTCAGGCTGGGTGTGTGGGCTCTGTCTGGCTCATCTCCCTGACAGGAGTCAGGCCCACAGTGCTGCAGAGCCACACGCCGGAGCCCGGGTCCTCCACTGGGCAGCACAGCAAGAGGGCCTCCGTGCAGCTTCTCGAGTAGCTGGGGATGCTTCATTTGACCATTTGGTTAACAGGGTGTCTGGGGCTTGGCAGCTGCATCCCACTGCTTTTCCCTCAATGACTTGTGCTGGCTTTTGCCATTTCTACTTACTCTGTTATGAGGGGTATCGTGTATCAGCAACTAGAGATCTGGTCCCATCCGCTGGAGTATGTCGTTCCCTTTTAGGGATATTCAGTCATTTATTTACTTGGCCCTTGTTAATGGACATAAAGATTGTCTCCCAGTCTCTTGCTACTACAAAAGTACTGTATGGACTGTCCCACCATATATTTCAGGCAGACATCCAACAGGAGGCTTTCCTCCGCTGCGCCCTAAAGGTTGAGCAGGGGGAAGGGAGTGGGAAGAAAATGCCAAGGCAGGATGTGGGAACAGCAGGTGGAAACCAGGTGTAGTTGAGGTACCAGAGAGCCAGCAAGTCCCAGAGCAGCCCTGGAGCTTCCGGGTTATCACCAACCCATTGTACTGATGGAGGTGGCACTGGGTCCCCAAGTTGCAGACAGGAGAGCAAAGGGAAGTTTGTTCTTCCCTGTCCAAGCCCAGGCCCTCAAGGAAGCACACCCAGATTACTGTTGCCTGGGCTTGCCCCTTCCTCTCAGCATCCCTGGCTTCTCTCCCCTCCCTTGCACGCTCTCCCCTGGGCCACGTGGTCCTGGCATGGTGCGGGCAGGGAGGCACGGAGGTGGCTGACATCTGAGGGCTCATGCGTCAGAAAGGCAAAATGGTCACTTGGGATGTGACGTGACTTTGGGCAGGGCCACCTTGCCTCTTGGCTTTGCTCTGGGTCCCCGTCTATAAAGTGGGGTGGCGTCTCTCAGCTGTTAGAGAACTTCATGAGCCGCAGTGTGCCAGAGACAGGGCCTGGCACAGAATGAGTGCTCAGAGAACGGGCCTGTTATTATTATTATTATTACCATCAAGTCAGTGGGGGAGACGGCAGCAGCTGCAGGCTGGGAAAGGAGTGTTTGCAAACTGACAGCCAGGAGGGTGACTAATGGAGCCGCAGCCTCCTAGCCCTTCTGCAGTGGCTTGCTTCTTGGGGGGGAGGGGAAGCATGGGATATGGAGAGCAAGCAGAGCCCCTGTTTAGAAGGGCTGAAGGTTAGGGGCCTCAATTCCAGGTCTGGGCTGTCACCCTAAGTAGGTCTGTGACTTCAGGCAAGTTGTTCAACCTTGAGAGCCTCAGTTTCTGCTTCTGTAAAATGGGGGTGAGGAGCTCACAGCTCCCACAGCATGGACCCCAAGAGCCTAGGGGTGGTTTCTGTCCAGGTGGCTCGTGCATGTGGGGGCAGGGCACAGGAACGAGGGTCATCCTCCCTGACCTTCAGTCTTCCTAACAAACAGCAGAGGTTGATGGATTGGCCTTTGGGGAAGGGAAGAGAGGCTTATGCCAGACACTTCCAAATCTAGGGCTTCATTCCACTCTTCCCACAGCCTACTTGCAGGGGACTCCTGTCCCTGCGTTTCAGGGTGAGGGATTGAGTCATTCACCCAAGTTGCACACTCAACAGAGCCAGGTCTGCCTGACTCGGAAACCAGGAGTGAGGCCTGGAAGCCGTGGTGGTTCTGCTGCTGAGGCCCCAGGCCCCAGGCCCCATGACCCTCAGAAGTAAACTCTGGTTCCCCACATTAGTGTTTGAAGCCTCTACACTTTGCAAGGTCTCTGCCAGGCCCAGCTCAGGGAACTGCAGCAGAGTGACCCCACCCCCGACTGGGTTCAGACAGCCTCGCAGCCGACAGGCAGAAGCTCCCACTGCGCTCCTTCCAGTCGCCGTCCTGCACCCTGCACCGTAGATTAGGCCGATTTTCAACTTTATCCAGATGCAGTTAAAGGCATGTGCTCGTCCGCGACTGGCTTCTTGGTTAACATGATGTGTAGAAGTTTATTGGTGGTGTTTCATAGCTGTTGCTCACTGAGCCTCACAGCAGTACAGGGCTCCATTCTGTGAACACACCACTGTGTATCCCTCTGACTTTTGGGAGGCATCCGGGAAGCTCCCAGTTTGAGGTTTATTACAGATCTTGCTGCAGAGGGTGCTCTGTGCTGGCCTCAGTGAACACTGGCCTCTTTTCTCCTAGGTGTGTACCCCGAAGTGGTGTGACCAGGCCACAGGGTCGGTGGCCTTGGCTGTAGAGATACTGCCTGAGCAAGTTTTTATAGACAAAGAAACTAAGACACCCACAGAAGACAGGTGACTTTTCCCAAGTCACTTGTACCTTCCCTGGGGTTCACAGGCCTGGCCTGGGCCCTCTTCCCCCCAGAGCAGTCACCTAGCACTGGTCTTGGGGCTGGTGGCTATTCTGTCAGTCTGTGAGGCCCCCTCTGTTCCTGAGGGTCCTCGGCCCTCCTGCTCCTGCCTACTCCCCGCTTCAGCGCCCAGCCTGAGGAGACTGGGGGGCTGCCCTCACCCCGGGCCCAGCTCTGGTTGCCTTGGGCGCCTGTTTAGATTGCTGTGGGGAGGGGTGGGGTCTCAGTAACTTGAAGGGGAGCCATCTCTGCACATCCATCCTCGATCTTTTTCTTCCTACAGCTCTCATGGTACCAAGTGACAGGTCAGCCTTCCTGTGACACGGGGACGCTCGACTTCTGAGAAGATGTCAGCAATACAGGTACCACAGGGGCAGCATCTAGAGCAGTTGAGCCCCCCCAGTGGGGGTGCTGAGCAGAAAAAAGGGCTCAGATCAGTTTGCTCCCATTTTCCCAGCCCTCTGTCCCAGCCCTGGTTTTTAACAAAGTAGAATGCCAGGGTGCACTGTCACACACGGGGCCTTAAGGGTGGGTGGGCTGGGGCAGAGGCGGAATGTCAGCTGGGAGGAACCCAGGGTTCCAGAGCTCCCGTAGGGGGCAGTGCCTCACCCGGCTCAGAGAAGACAGCTGAGAGCTGTGACCACGAGGGTTTGTGGGCAGGTGGGTGCTGCACCGCCCACCTGTAGCCTGTCCTGCAGGCCACCTGGCCATCCGGTACAGAGTGCATTGCCAAGTACAACTTCCACGGCACAGCGGAGCAGGACCTTCCCTTCTGCAAGGGGGACGTGCTCACCATTGTGGCCGTCACCAAGGTAATCAGGGAGTTCATACATCCACCCCACCCTCTCCCACCTCTGGGCATTCCCCCTGGGTCCAGGTTCCCTGCAGGGGGAGGTGGGCCTGAGAATGAACATGTCTGGGCTGCCCTCTCCCCAGGACCCCAACTGGTACAAAGCCAAGAACAAGGTGGGCCGTGAGGGCATCATCCCAGCCAACTATGTCCAAAAACGGGAGGGCGTGAAAGCAGGCACCAAACTTAGCCTCATGCCGTGAGTACCTCTGAGGGGGCTTCTCTTGCGGTCTGGGGAGGAGGGAGGATGAAGAGCCCTGATTCCCCCAGAAGAGAGTCAGGAAAACAGGGAGGCCACAGAAAAGGGCTGAAATGTCCTGAGGGCCTCTTGAGATGAGGGGAAGGGTATGGGTGCTGGACCTCAAAGGGAAAGGATGGGTCCAGGACTGAAGAGGGGAGGGTGGGAGCAGAGGGAGGCCCTTAGAAAGTAGAAGCTGGCAGGGGCACTAGGCTCCATACCTTTGGGCCACCGTGACCCTGGCCTGGCGTCCCCCAGCTGGTTCCATGGCAAGATCACACGGGAGCAGGCAGAACGGCTTCTGTGCCCGCCAGAGACGGGCTTGTTCCTGGTGCGGGAGAGCACCAACTACCCAGGTGACTACACGCTGTGTGTGAGCTGCGACGGCAAGGTGGAGCACTACCGCATCATGTACCACGCCAGCAAGCTCAGCATTGATGAGGAGGTGTACTTTGAGAACCTCATGCAGCTGGTGGAGGTGAGCCGCTGCACCCACAGGCCTGGATGCTGGCTCCAGACCCACTGCCTCTGACTGTTTGACCTCGGGACTGTCATGCAAACTCAGTGGCACCTGTTATGTGCCAGGGTGGACCTCTGATCCCATAATATCACCACAGGGAGGGCAGCACTGTCCCCATTTCATTGGCCAGGAAACGAAGGTTCAGAGCAGTTAGGAGACTTGCCTGAGATCACACAGCTGTAAATTGGAGGTGCCAGGACTTGAATCTGAGCCTCTCTGATCCTGGAACCACTTTGTTCCAGCCACTTATGGAGCTACATGGCCAAGTGTGTGTATATCAGTCCTCGTAGAGCTACACTAACGGTCAGGGTTTCCCTGGGCTCATGCACCTGCAATAGTGTGCCCACAAGTCCCTGCAGCTCCTGAGGCCAGCTCTGCCAGCCCTGGCCAGGCCACACCTGTAGCCCCAGGCAGCCTCCCAGATTCCTCCTGAATTCACTCTTATCTCCTTCCTTCTGCCGGCCTGGCCTAGCCTCTGGCAGGGGAGGGTCCTGGCATGCCTGGCTACAGGCTAGTGCTGGGACTGAGTCAGTGCTTGTCCTCTGCCTAGGAATGCTGGTGAGGACCAGAGTGGTAGCAACAATAGAGAATCTGTCCAGCAACTGGGTGTGGAGTGGCATGGGCAGTGGGCCATGTGTTGAAGTCTGGGGCCTCCATAACCCAGGCCCTGCCAGAAATAGGGATCCCTCCCCTGCCAAAGCAAGTCCTGGCGGGGTGGGATGAGCTTCTGCCGCCCTCAGGTGGTCAGACTGAGGTGGTGCATGTGAGTGGCTAGTGATCTGCTCTGCCCCCCTGCAGCACTACACCTCTGACGCGGATGGACTCTGCACACGGCTCATCAAGCCAAAGGTCATGGAGGGCACAGTGGCAGCCCAGGATGAGTTTTTCCGCAGTGAGTGCCACCCCCACCCCCAGTCCTCACTTGCCTACTTGCCTCTTGCTACCCAGGCTTCTTGGCACTGACCTATCCCAGAGGCTCTGGAGACCTCCAGGGAACCCCACACATTACATAGTACAGTCAGCCTCTGTAAACTCTGCTTCAGCGTCTCCAACCCTCACCGGACCCCCTTTCTTTCACCAGGTGGCTGGGCACTGAATATGAAGGACCTAAAGCTGCTGCAGACCATTGGGAAGGGGGAGTTTGGAGGTGAGCAGGAAGGTCTGGGAGCCCTTCGAGGGACCAAGGGACTGTGGGGAGTGTGGGAACAACCACCCGCTCTCTCCCCACAGACGTGATGCTAGGCGACTACCGAGGGAACAAAGTCGCCGTCAAGTGTATTAAGAACGATGCCACTGCCCAGGCCTTCCTGGCTGAGGCTTCGGTCATGACGTGAGTTGGGCAGGGGGTGAGTGGGAAGGTTGCCCCTCACGTGAAGGGGATGAGGAGGCGTGGTGGGCTCTGATCACTTTGTCTTGCCCCAGGCAACTTCGGCATAGCAACCTGGTACAGCTGCTGGGTGTGATCGTGGAAGAGAAGGGCGGGCTCTACATTGTCACGGAGTATATGGCCAAGGTGTGCAGCCCCAAGATCCACCCCTGTGCTGGAGCCCAACGCTGGGCTGTGCAGCTGCCTCCAGCCCCAGACGGCACCAGTGGGCCCTGCTGTCGTCCCCTCCCACCTGAGCTTTGAAGGCCCCAGGGCTCAGCTTTCGTCCTGGCTCATCATGTATTCACTGTGGCCTTGGACAAGTTGTATCATCACCTCTCTAAGCCTGTTTCCCCATCTGTGCAGTGGAGATACTAACAAAGTTGACCTCAGAGATTGATGAGAATTAAGAGATAATGCATGAGAATGGCTGAGGGGTGTTCCCTGTATAGACCCTAGTATTCCTGCCAACTCCTCCCATGCTCCTCCCCACTCCTCACACCTCCCCTGGGTGTCACACTTCACCCAGCCCCAGGTCCACTGTTCCCAAGGGCTGGAGGGAAAGTCTGACCTGTGGGCCATGGTCTGTCTGTCCTGTCCCAGGGGAGCCTGGTGGACTATCTTCGATCACGGGGTCGGTCGGTGCTGGGCGGAGACTGTCTCCTCAAGTTCTCACTGTGAGTGCAGCAGCCCCTGGGGAAGGGCTCCCCACCCTTTCCCGGGAGGCCTAATCTGAGGGGGCACGTGGCTGGCTCTCTCCCAGAGACGTCTGTGAGGCTATGGAATACCTGGAGGGCAACAACTTTGTGCACCGGGACCTGGCTGCCCGAAATGTGCTGGTGTCTGAGGACAATGTGGCCAAGGTCAGCGACTTTGGCCTCACCAAGGAGGCCTCCAGCACCCAGGACACAGGCAAGCTGCCAGTCAAGTGGACAGCCCCCGAGGCCCTGAGAGAGAAGGTGGGTGGGGAGCCTCCCCCATGTTCTGGGCCTCCCCCATGTTCTGATCAGTGGTGGACAGGGGTCCTGGGTTCTCTCCCCCCTACCCCCCATTCCCAGCATCTGACCCAGCTTTTCCCATCAACATGGTAGAAATTCTCCACCAAGTCTGACGTATGGAGCTTTGGAATTCTTCTCTGGGAAATCTACTCCTTTGGGCGAGTGCCTTATCCAAGAATTGTGAGTGCAGGCGCTGCGGTGGAGGACGGCTGGGGCTGTCGGAGGGCTGGGCAGGGGGCGAGGCCTCCCTGGGCTCTGCTTCCCTGGGCCGAGGCCTGGAAGCTGCAGGCTTGCGCTCGGGACCTTCCTGGCCTGAGTCTGAAGCAGAACTGAAGGGGATCAATCCCCCAAGGGGGGTGTTGAGTAGGGGTCCCCTCCCAGGTCAGGCCCTGCACAGACTCATACTGCCCCTCTACCCTCAGCCCCTGAAGGATGTCGTCCCCCGGGTGGAGAAGGGCTACAAGATGGACGCCCCTGACGGCTGCCCGCCCGCCGTCTATGAGGTGATGAAGAACTGCTGGCAGTTGGATGCCGCTTCAAGGCCCTCCTTCTTGCAGCTGCGGGAGCAGCTCCAGCACATCAAAGCCCGAGAGCTGCACCTGTGATGGCCAAGCACCCAGGGCGTGGGCCTTGGGGGCCGAACTTGGAGAGACGGGCCTTGAGCCCCCACTCAGTGGGCCCTGGCCTGAACTGAGCCCAGTGGGCTTCTTTCCTCTGTCCCAGCCTGTGCCTCCTCTGGCCCGTCTGGGGACCCCGCCTAGGCCTGGCAGCTTCTCTCATGGACCCACCTGTGGGGCTGGGGGAGGCCCACTGAAAGGCCAAGAAGCGAGGAGGCTGAGGAGCCGGAGGCAGACACCCCCACCATGGCCAGGCTTCCCTTGGCCTCCTATCTCTCACTTTCCTAGAGTTTTATTCCTTTCCTTTTTTGAGGGTTTTTTTCCCATGTGCTTATTTTTTATTATTTTTCAAGATAAGAAGAAAGTACCCAGGAAATGGGCATTTTACAAGAAGTACGAATCTTATTTTTCCTGTCCTCCCCATGAGGGTTGGGGAAACCAGGCCCCTCTCCAGGGACCCTTTGCCCAGCCTCGTTCCCCGTTCCGTGTTCCGTGTCCCGTGTCTCCTCGGTCGCCCCGTGTTTGCGCTTGACCACGTTGCACTGTTTGCATGCGCCCGAGGCAGATGTCTGTCAGGGGCTTGGAGCTCGTGTGTGCTGCCGCCACCTGCCTTGTGAGATGGAATCATAATAAACCACTCCATGAGGACACCGCTGCCCGGCCTCGGCGCTTTCTCCGCCGAGCCTGCCTGTCTCCCGTCCCCTGCCCCTGTGCCATCTTGTCCATCCCCCTGTCTCTGTGAGTGGGGCTGTGCTTGCCCTGTGAGTGGAGCGGGGTGGGGAGCACGGCCGGGAGAGGTGGCCGCCGCTTTGTGTCAGCTGCACCAGCAAGTGTCCTGTGTCTGCCGTGGGAGCTCTTGCCACCCGCCCTCCCCCACCATTCTGCGCCGGTCCAGGCTAGGCCCCAGGACCACCTGGGTGCTAGGGCCCTGTCTGCAGGGTGATGCCGGGGCTCCTGGCTGCCCCTCCTACTGTGTGTTGTTCAAGCCGGCAGCGCAAGGAGGACGGAAGCCAAGGAGGGGGTGGGGGAAATCCAGGCCTGACCCGATGGAGATGGGTAGGAGGCAGGAGGCAGGAGGTGAAGTAAATATCTCAAGCGATGTTGACTCTGGAGGGAGAGGGGAGGGAATCTTCGAGCTGCTGGTGGTTCTCACTGCTCACCTGGGATGTGAGAGCACTGCCCTCCCCCACCCTGCCACGGGCCTAGTCCTATGCCTGAGGATGCGAATTCTAGGGCATCTTGGGTGGCACAGGTGGAGAATGAGGACCAGCCCTGGCATTTTCTCCCCTCAGGTTCCTCAGGGCAGTAGTCAGTGCAGAACATCAGGGTTGGGAGAGGCTAACCTCGTACACTGAGGCAGCTGGGGGTCGTCCCCTTGTCCAGTTGGGGTCCTGACCCTGCTCTGATCAGCAGGGCCTGAAACCCAGGGCGTCCTGACTGCAGGGGGCCTATGCCAACAGGGCAGTGTGGCCGACACTGCATCCCACCCCCGCCCAGGGCAGTGCCCCCTTGCCTCTCCCAGTCTGTCCTCCTCGCACACTGCCATGCTCATTTTGCTGGAACTAGACCAACACGAATACTTGAAAACCTGCTATGTGCTAGGACTGGGGTTCAGTAAGCAAAGTAGATCCTGTGAAGTTCATAGTTAAGGAGACAATCACAAAGAGTTAATTACAAAGCTGGTAAATGCTATGAAACATGTATGCAATGGGAATCAGATCTTATCTGTAGATCAGAAGGGGCTGGGGGCTTCCAGGAAGAGGCAGCACGTAAGCTGAGATCCAGAAAGATGCACAGAAGTACAAGGGGCAGCCTGCACTTGAGGGAGAGGTGCTGAGACTGGAGGGAGGCTGCCTGTTCCAGGGCCCCTGAGCAGGTAGGCAAAAGTACCACAACTAGCCCAGAGGTGTGAGAACTGTTCTGGGGCAAGGACGTGGTGTCCACCTCACTGAGAGCCTCGGGGGAGCCAGCGACAGGCTCCCAGCAGGGTGGTGAGTGAGTGAAGTGATCACCCTGGCGGCTGGTGGAGGTCTGAAGGAAGCACTGAGGAGTAACCTGGGTGAGAGGATGGTGGGAGTGGACTGACTCCACAGGGATGTACAGGTAACAGTGCCTGAACTCAGGAGTGGGCTTGTACGAAGGTGAAGGAGAAGGGAGCCATGGCTGTGGGCGGGCAGGGGCTCGCTCCCTCTGCATGAGGGGACATCATAAGTTCTGTCCAGGGCACGCTGAGTTTTGAGTGCGCCTTTGACACTGCCAAGAGGTGTTGAGCAAGTTGGAATGTGGGGACTGAGTAGGGCGATGTGAGTTTTCAGCACCCAGGAAGACATGCAGAAGAGGGCCCAGCACCAAGCCCAGGGATGCTCTTAACACTCAAAGATCAAAAAGGGGAGACTGGGCTAGACGTAAAGAGGACAGGGGAGTGCCTCGTCATAGGGGCCAAGGGAAGGGCTGGGAGGGAGAGCCTGCAGGTCCCACTTCCCAGGAGACACAGAAGAAGGAGACAGTGCCCCCTGGAGGTCACTGGTCACTTGAGCAAGACCTGAGTTGGGTGGAGGCAGACTCTAGGTTACAATGGCTGGAGGTGGGTGCAGGCAATAGAGGGAGGTTGACAAATGGAGAAGTCTAGCTGTGGTGAAGAGAATGAGAAGTAAAGGATTTTTGAGACCACAGAGGCTTGAGCAAATCTGACCCCCAAGGGAAGGACATTTCCTTTCAAGTCTGCATACTAAGAGGAAGGCAGAAAATAGAGGGGATGGTAGTGATGGAAGGGGGAACCTTGGAGCAAGGAAGGGTGAGCAGGAAGGGGCCTGCTGGCCGGTGAGGGCAGAGGGACCTCCCCCGAGCGGGAGTCACGCAGCTGGCGCAGCAGCGGGTGGGGAGTGCCACTTCACCGAAGGCCAGGGTCCTGGGGACTCTGACAATGGGCTCTCACTAGCGGGTCCAACCCGGCTTGGTTCAGAAACAGGCGACGGTGTCAGTAGCCATGGATCATGAGGAGGGCAGGAGGCACCGTAACAAGCGGACCCTGCGTGACCTTGGGAGTGAGAAACGCCGGCGGCCTGGTGTTCCTGTTCCTTCCACCAGCGTCAGGGGAGCCCCTTCCTGACTCCCTCCTCCTCTCACTCGGTTTATGGCGTTTCCCCCTTTTCTCTCATCCTTCCCTTCTGCTCTGTGCTGGCCACTGGCTCACGACAAATGAGCAAGGAAAAATTATCACCCTGCAGGAGCTCGTGGACTGGTGGGGGGCCCACTCAAGACTCAGCTTAGTGCCCAGAATCTGGTCCGTGAGGTCGGGGAGGTGGGAAGTGCGAGGCAGCTGCTCAGACACTTGGGGGACCAGCAGGAGCAGGAGCAGGAGCGAGAGCGCTCTGGTGAACACGGTGAGGCTTGGGAGGGCGTGTGGAGCAGGGGCGCCGCCGGGGCTGTGCTTTGGAGCAAGTGCAGCTGAAGGGAAAGCAGGGCCCAGACCCGCCGGGTTGCCCAAGCCCCACAGGTGTTTCACTTTATGCAGAGATGACCAGGAGCAATTAAAGAGTTTAGGACAGAGGAGGGAGGTGGTCAGATCTGCATTCTAGAAAGATCCTCTGACTGCAATCAGGCCTTGGGGGCAAGGGATAGGCATCAAGAAGTGGAGACGGGGCAGGGGTGCGGAGGCTGCAGTCACCCGGGAAGGGGCCCGGGAAGCTAGTGGGAGGTGAGGTGGAAGAAGAACACCTGGAATTTCACTGACCGGAGCCTTCACCGTCTGCCAGGCCCTGTTCTGAGCACCAGAGGTAGGTGTATCACCTCGTTTAACCCTCTGAACAGCTCTTGGAGATACACCCTGTTATTTTCTCCATTTTACAAGTAAGGAACTGAGGCTTGGAGAGGCTCGGGACCGTAGCATGAGAGGGCAAGAGCAGAGTGAAGGTTTGCTGGCGACAACAGGAGGAAGCAGAAGGGATGGGGGCGGGGCAGTCTCTGGCTCCATCCGGTGAGAGTGCCACTCAGAGGCCCCAGCCATGGAAGAGGGTGGGCCAGAGGTTGGGGGGGGGGGGGTTGGTTTCAACATGTCATCTGGGGCCTATGTGACATCCAAGCAGAGTTGTGGCCTGCAGAGCTGGACATCCATTCAGGCCTGAGGCTCTGGGGAAAAGATGGGCTGAAAGTAGAGATTCGAGGGCCGTGGTGCAGCTGCAGTGCTTGAAGCCGTGGGCATAGGCGAGCTTGTCCGGAGAGCACGTGATGGGTGAGGGCAGATGCCCCAGTGAAAGGTTGCTGAGGCGGCGCAGTGGCAAAGGAGCTCCGGGGCTGCCTGGGGGCCCTAGGGTGGGGGTAAGGACCTCAGAACACACAGGGCAGGGCCTGGGAGGATGGGGGATGGATATCCACAGCGTTTCACACTGCAGAGACCAGATTAAAGAAGTGTCCACCAGGCACAGGGAACAAGGGGCACCGCCAGGCCTTGCTCAAGGAGGTTTCGCCCCATGGGCGGGCTGGAGTGGGGCAGGGGCAGGAGCTGGGAAGAGGGGGTGGGCGGTGGAAGAGCAGGGCCCAGGGTGGGGTTCGCAACTCTCAACTCGTCTGTGACGGCGCAGGAGAAAGTGGGTGCAGGTGACTGAGGGCTTAGTGTTGAGAAATGAAGTTTTCCTTTTAGCATGTCCTAAAATTTTACATTTACAGACTTGATTTTAATTAATCTGCAGAGCTTCAGTAATTGAATCCTATCGGGAACTTGCAAAGTACAGTAAATTTCAGTATCTAGAATTCTTGGCAAATGAGCCACTCCGGAAAACCAACACTTATTTGGATGAAAACACTTGAAATATAGGATTACTTACTTTGTAAAAATGTGTTTTATATGAAAAGTATCGAACATATAAAAAAGTAGAGGGAAGACTATAGCACATGCACTACCTGATCCGAGCAGTTACCAGTTCAAGGCCATGTACTTTGCCACCCACATGCCCCAGGCTCTGGGGTATGTGGAAGCAGATCCTAACCATTATATCGATTTCTCCAGAAAACTTTAGTACATTTCTCCAAAAGACAAAAGACTTTTTAAAAATGTAGCCACAATATTGTTATTACTCCAAAAAAAATTTTAATACTTCCTTAATTCAATCAAATATCCCTTGCTTAAATTTCCCCAACTGTCTCATTTTCCCCCAGTTGGCTGGTTAAAATTAGGCTTCAAACAAGGTTCACACACTGCATTTGTTTTCTCTGTCTCTTTCTATTTTTCATGGAGTTTATTTGCTGAGGAAACCTGGCTACTTGCAGGCATGAGCCTGTGGGAACCTGGCAGAGCGCTGAGTGTAACGGTGGAGAGAGCAGGACAGGGGAGGGTGACATGGGTGCTGGCCACACTGTCAGGACGTCCACCTGCGTGACCAAGACAGCAGGCGGCCTGTGGAGGCCCACCTGAAGCCAAAAGGAGAGCCCAAGGCTCCTGAAGGGTGGGACTGTCCCTGTGATCCCCAAGGTCCCTCAGCTGGGGGAGCTGAGGGAAAGCAGGAAGATGTCCTGAACTGAGGAGCAGGGGCGGAGCTCAGACTGGCCAAGGGCCAGAGGCTGCTCCCTGGCACACTGGAAGTGAGGGAGGCTCAGGGCCTGATGTCTGCATAGGGGAGGGGGAGTGCAGTGCCAAAACCAGCTACCGGTCAGTGCCCAGCTCCTCCCCTCCTGGTCCTTCCCCTGCCCCTCCTTGGCCTCCCAGCTATTGTCCACCCTGGGCCCAGACACCAGATCTTTTTATAGTGCTTGTGGTCAGTGACCCTGACCCCTAGCTCTGCCTTCCCCTCCTCTTGTTCCTCGCCCCCCACACTGCCCCCACGCAGGCAGTGCCAGGGGTCCAGCACCCCTCCCAGGCTTGTCCTCTGTTCCACCCACCATACCACACCTCTGTCCACCAGCCTCAGTGTCTCTCCTCTGCCTTTTTCCTTCTCTGCCCTAGGGTTTCCCTTATCCTTCTGCCTCTCCTTAGGGGGCCTCCCACGCCTCCTACCCCACATCCTGGACCCATGAACACACACACTCATGCTGAGTCCCAGACACAGAGACACAAGGCAACTTGGACCAACACAAACCTCTAGTTTCCTGGCTCCATGCCAGCGGTCCTATAGCTGTCTCTGAGAACCAGGGCAGCCTAGAGTGGAGCACCCTCACAGTCAGCGGCTCTGCTGAGAGACACCAGCTATGTAGGTATGAGAGCATGTTAGCCCACGGGTCTGTGTTCAGGGCCTTCCAAACCCAGACCTACAGAGAGTCTGTCTTCTACAAAATCTTGTTCAAAAAGATTTTTGAGGACTTACAAGGACCTATGCAATAGAAAAGAGCTTAAAGTAGGAATGAGGAAGAATGAAGCTAGCCCTGACTGGTGTGGCTCGGTGGGTTGGGTGTCATCCTGCAAACCTAAAGGTCACAGGTTTGGCTCCTGGTCAGGGGACATGCCTGAGTTGTGGGCCTGCCTTCCATTGAGGTGTGTGTGAGGGGCAACTGATTAATGTTTCTCCCTCCCTTCCTCCCTCTCTAAAAATAAATAAAATATTTTAAGAAGTAAAATAATGAGAATGTGGCTTAGGGTTGGGGTTGAGGCATAAAATGAGTCCAGGAGCCCTGGCTGGGTAGCTGAGTGGATTAGAGCATTGTCCCAATGCACCGAGGTTGCAAGTTCAGTTCCTGGTCAGGGCACATACAAGAATCAGCCAATGAATGCATGAATAAGTGCAGCAACAAACTGATGTTTTTCTCTCCCCCTCCCCCTGTCTAAAATCAATGTAAACAAAAAAAATTTTTTTTAAATGATTCCAGGAACTTTTTGCCAAAACATAGGCCTGCCTACCCTTAGAGTTGGGCCATGGATCTGGTTCAGAGCCTCCTAGCAGGCAAAGCAAAGGGAAGAAGCAGATCCACTGTGTATTTCTGTGTCTGTGGGATGTAAGTTCTGAAAAACAGCACTGTTCCTGACTGCGACCAGAACAAATATCGCTTTAAGGTGACAGGCACTGTCTTGAGGTCTTGGCCCAATCCTGCTCACAGAGGTACGAGGAAGCAAAGGAGGGCCTGCTCCTCACAGCGCCAAGCCAGGCTCTGCCTCTGGGCCAGGATGACAGGCCTGCACCCCACCCACTACTGTGGGCCTTGCCAAGTCAGGGGTGCCACAGACCCTGTGGAGGAGCAAATCCCCCGATGTATGTTCATTGTCCCTTCATTCATTCATTGACCTTTTTTATTGGACTCCTTCCCCCGTGTCCCTCTGTGTCCAGCTCTGAGACAGGGGCTGCATCAGGCTCAAAGGTGCTCATAGTCTGGGGCAAGGTCCCGTGAACAGCCCACATAAGGCCGGAGGCATAAGTGTAGTAGACAGCGGGCAACCTTTGCCTCTCGCAAGTCACTTTAGAGGCAGTGGTGGCTCCCAAGGGCCCCCAGGACTCCTGGCCTTGCAGCCTCTGAGCCTCCCCACCTCCAACCCTGGCCTTTGCTGAGCAAACAGGCCAGAACAGCAGTCTCTGGAAAGTCCTGGCAGGGACTGGCTCTGGGCCAGGTGCCAGGCTGGCAGGATGGAGGGGTGGGGAGCCAGCGGGGGTGGGGCCTCTAATCTCCCTTTCCCTGGTTCCTGCCAACCCTGCCTTAGTTTCTCTCCACTTTCCTCCCTTCTTTGTCCCCCCCACTTCCACCAATAACTCTCTCTCTCACACACACACACACACCACCCTTCACCCTTTCCTCTCCTCTCAGTTCTGCAGGCCAGCTCCAGCTTTGCTTTCATGCTTTCCTCATCCGAAGTGCTCCTCTACATCCCCCACCAGGAAGCCCCCGAAGGCATCGGGGCACACTGGAGCCCCCACCCGCCTATTCTCTCAAAGTGCTCTCCGGTGTTCAGTGGTCTCAGGCATGTCCTTTTCCCTCATAGAGCCTCAGCTTCCTCGTCTGAGAAACAGAAAGGGTTGGACACAGAGCTCTCTCCTGGTGGAATAAGTTTGGACTTCGGACTTAGATGGAGCTGAGTTCCAATCCACTTATTTCTTTAAAATTTTCTGAGCCTCAATTTCCTCATCTATAAAATGGGGTCTGATAAAAACAGACTGCACGGACCTGTGGTGAGGCTCGAGTGAGAGAGCAGGCGTGGTGTGCTGCAGAGGTCTGGCGTTCATTGCCATCCCATGCCAGACTCCAGTACCCACTTCTCCAGTGGATTCCTTCCTGTGTCTGACCAGCCAGTCCAGCATTTGATGGCAGGCTTTGATGGTGCCTGCTTCCTCCCCCCTCAAGCCCAGCCAGGCTAATGAGAGAGAATAATGGGGCGGAGAGGAAGATGGGGCCCAGGCCCTGGGTGGCCCTGGCCCACAGACACTGCCCCAGACCTGCGGGGAGTGCAGGCCCAAGCCTTGAGGAGCTGAAGCAGTGCAGTGTGGAGCAGGGCTCCTATCTTCTTCTCTAGCTGGGAGGTGGACATGCAGATGAGGGTGACCAGGCTGGGGCACTAGGGAGCCCAGGGCATGGTGAGTGGCCCCCACCAAGGCCCAGCAGACAGGATGGGTCAGGGAGTGGGGTGGGGAGCCCAGGGTCCCAGGGTCCCATGCGGGAGTTGAGCAGCTGGGTCCCATAGGCCACGTGGTCCACCCCAGGCAGGGCCCAAGTTGGCTGTGTCCTGGAGAGGCCTGTCTGAGGGAAGGCATCAGGATCCTCTTCAATTCCTCGCCCCAGGATACCCAGGTGAGCAGTGCCTCCTGCCTCCCCGCTGCACACACCTGGACCCTCCTCCTGGTGCCTGCAGCTCAGGCTGCTTGTCACCTCCCATGGAGACAGCCCTGCCATCCCTGTGCCAGCCAGTGAAGAGCATACCTCTCCGAGCTGCTTCGGGAAGGACCTAAGCCTCCCCCAACTCCTGCGCTGCATACACACTGTCCACCCATGCCCCTGCCCCAGCCTCTGACAAGGAGCCCGCCCCTCCTAGGGCTGTGCCCTCCTTGCTCACCAGAGGTAGTGCCTCCCTGGGACTCCCTCCCCCTCAGTCCCAACTGTGCCTCCTCTGGGAGCCACCCCGGGGAGTCCTCCATTCAGTCACCCCAACAGCTGCAGATCACCGGGGGTGGTGAAATGATGCAGGTGAGGCCTATGGTCAGCGCTTTCATTCACATCACTCTTTCATGCCCGACACTCGTGAGAAGTGGGGAACATTAGTTCGCAATCACAGGTGGAGATACTGAGTCGCAGAGAGGTGAAGTGACTTGCCCGAGGTTCCACAGCTGCGCACCTACCAGAGCTTTGGGGCCAGGCTTGCCTGTGGAGGGTCCATACCCATCTCCCAGCCAGCTTCCTGCCACGCCCTTCCCTTTCTCCAGATGATGTGCCTGCTTCTCCCTCCCCACCCACTGCCTCCTTACTAGCTGGGCCCGTTCCTCAGTGTCTCTCGAAAACACCCCTTAGCTCATAACAATTAGGATAATTGCTGACTGACATTTATAGAGCAGAGCTTTCTGTGTGCCACCCAGTGTCAAGCAGTCCACATTCATTGTCTTAGTTAATCCTTGGAACAATGTTATGAGGTAGTTTCCATTATTATCCTCATTTGAAAAATGAAGAAGTGGGAATTTAGGCAGGCCAGGTCACAGCCAGGAGGCACACACAGGTGGTTGCTCTGCTCGGAGCTGGCGTCTGCTGCTCTGCACCACCGCCGTCTGGTCTGAAGAGGGCGGAGACCCGCGCTCTGCTGTGAGCAGTGTTCGTGTGCTCAGAGAAACTCGGGAACTCTCAGGTTCAGCGCCCTTCTCCTCACTCCCCAGAGCCTGCTGCACAGCCCTGCAAGGCAGGTGGGCTGGTCATATTGTCCTCATCCACTGGGACACATCTCGTCTCGTCTGTCCTGAGTCTTTCCTGCCACAGTCCAAGCTTGGCAGAGATAGGAAAGAGATGGCTGACCCTGCGGCACAGGGGAACTTGGAGTTTAAGGAAGGGGGAAGGAGAGAAGACCAGTAGGAAGAGGGGGTAGCGCTGGGGGATTCAAGGCAAAACCCCACTTTGGGTCCAGGCTTGGTCCCACCTGGGAAGAGTCACAGAAAGACCCTTGACCTCTTCTGTGAACTCCAAGTACCAGCGCTCTGCCAGGCAGGCTTGTTCTCCCGCCCCTCTCTTCTGCCAAGGGAGCAGACTGTGGCGAGAGAGATTCAAGCTAGACCCCAGGGACAGGGCCCATAGCAGGTCATCCAGTTGAGGAGAAGTGGCCTCTGGGCAGAATGGCTTCTGGGGCCACCCTCACTGTCCAGGCCTTGGGTCACCATGGCCCTGCTGGACTCCAAGTCTCCATAAAGATGGAGCCAGCTGGGTGCTGGGCTCTTGTTACCAGGACTTCCGGAACTGGCTTCAGATGCAGATCACCTACTGGGGCGAAGTCTGCCCGTGAGCAAGCCCTACTCATGCACAGCCTCTTTTGTTTTTGCAGGTCACGTGAGTGGGCGGGGTGTGCAGGTTACAGGGCTCAGAGCTACATAGGTTCTGTGTGGTCTGTTGCCCGTGGCCTTAGGAGACTCATGCCTGTGACAGCACAAAGAATCCCTGGAACATATGAGCAACACATACATGGGATCCTCCTCTCTACACAGAATCCTAAGTGGCCCAAAGCACATGCCTGTGAGGGCTCACATGAGACCAGGATGCAAACCGCTCCACACCATTCTGACACCCTGCTCCCATTCTAAAGCCAGGGGAGCCCAAGACTCAGAGTTGGGGACAATTTCCCCTGCTGGGGGCAGGACAGAGGAGGGGGCTCTGTGCCCCTCCAGAGTCCTTGAACAGCAGCCTCTCACCCAGAGGTCTGGATTTGGTCTGGGTCAATGTGGAACCTCTGCTTTTTGCCCCTGGAAGTTTCTTTGGGATCTCAGCAGCCACCAGAACCCTGGCAGGTGAGGGCCTTATGGGCAGGCAAGAGCAGAGGAACAGTACCTCATGAATCATTCTGAGCGCATACCCCTTCTAAGAAGCACTGGGTGTGGGGCTAGCCATTCCTCACTGTGTGACCTGGGCAAGACACGAGTCCTCTCCTGTCTGCCTTGAAGAGTCGTTGAAATTCTCAAATAGGATAAAGCATGAGAAACTTTTATTCCAGTGTTAGCCCCCTGAGTGCCCATAGCTGGAGCTGTGGGGCAGGTGGAAGAGAGATAGTGACGAGGGACCTTTTGGGAAATGGAGCAAAAGATGTAATGGAGAGTCATGGAGGGACCCACAGCCGGTGCAGTTGGTGAGAGTTCGTGAATGCCAAGACTTCCGTCTTCGGACTCTGGGCACTGGAGAGTCACGGAAGGTTTCTGAGGAGCGCCTGCTGCACGGCTCTGCAAGGCACGACATGGTCAGAGCCATACTCAAGAGAGGGCCACCACATGGTCACTCATGTCTGTAGCACCCTGGGGGCCCAAGGGTGTTGCTCAGTCTGCCCCCAGGACTCTAGTTCAAGGTTGTCCAATTTTCCTACTCACTGGGGGCCCACCTCTGGCTCCAGGGAGGCAGCTCCCATAGCCCACACATCTGCTCGTCTGACCCTCACACCTTTCTTATGAAGTAAGTAAGGTAAGGGTCAAAGCTGCCTAAGGCCAAGCACATCTCCTGCCTGTCTGAAATATAACGGAGTTTGGGGGAGGAGGGCTGGGTGAGTGCACTGCTGGGTGGGGGCAGGTCTTCCCTTCCCTTCTCTATCCTCCTTTCCAGACGACCATGGTGTCTTGTCCTTCCTGACCTTCAGTTTGAGCCAGCCAGGTCCAGAGGTGATGTTACCCCTGGACCTGCCCTGGCAGAGGGCTAGGGGACAGGCACCCTGGAGACCCCTTCCATCCTGGGTGCCATCAGACCTGCCACTACAACCATCATCTCTGCCTGTTGGGGACCGCCCTGCCTGGTCTCAGGAAGCTGTAAACCCCGCTCCCCCCCACCCCATGACTTAGGCTGAGTGAGAGACCTCCGGACCAGGAGCCACTAAGGAGATGAAACTTATTTCCCTGGCATGAATGCTGCCTGTTCTGTGCCTGGCCTCCAGTGCTTGATCAGTTAGCCAATGACGGGTAAGATTTCCCACAGAGGGAATCATCTAAGATAGGCATGATCATAAGGAGGCCTCAGGGAAGAGACTCAGGGGGCTGTGGAAATGAAGGGATGATCGACATCGACCCCTGCCCCCTCGGCTTTGTCAAAGCCTGAGTCCTTGTTCTTAGTTGTGAGAAATCCAAGTCTCCTGGCTGCCTTTGTCTCCTCTGCCTGACTTAGGCCTGCAGAAATAGCAGGGGCGATGCAGTTCAGACCAGAGTTAGTGCACCCCTGGGGTTATCAGACCTGGGACATAGAATATGCAAGATCCTGTGAGACCTGTTTGCTGGAGGATGCTTTTGAATTAGAATATGAAGGCACGAGCAAGAAACAAGACTAGCCTTTTAGGTCCCATAGTCTTTTTAAGTGATAAAACACAAACTCTCAGCCCAGAATCCCAGTGGGAGTTCTGTCAGTCCCTTTGAAAACTACCTATTCCTTTTGATCTTCCCTGCCGGACTGTAATCCACAAACTGTGTCTATATTCTTAATAAAAACCTACTCAGGTGGCAACTCAGGGCGCTCTCCACTAGAGAGGGTGGCCATTTCATCCCTATTTATCCACAGGACCCAGTTGTCCCTGTGTATGTTTTTCTCGTGTTTCAACAAGCCATCCGCAGCGTTCCGCAGTCACTGCAGGCCGGTGGCTGAGACATCTACCTGCTCTTTGAGCTTTGCCAGGCCCTGTGCTGGGCTGTGCTGGGGGCAGCAGTGACCCAGAGCCAGGCCTTGTCCTCAAAGACCTGCCAGGCTGGCTGTGGGAGCACAGAGAAGAGGTCTGAGCCAGCCAGGGAGCAGGGAGCAGTAGCACAGACAAAGGCCTGCCCTGCGGCCTGAGGGAGCAGGCCCAGGGACTGCAGGGCCTATGATTGAGCTGAGAGAGAACCAGGGCTCTTTCCTGGCTGAGGTGAACGTATGGTCAGGGAGGGGGACTGGTTTGTGGGAAACCCCGTGAGAAGGTTCCCCTCATCCCCAGATCTCCCACAGGTTTCAGGCCCAAGTTTTTGTCTTTCTCCTCCAGGCTCCACTGAAGCCCTTCCTGGAGATAAAGCAGCTCCGCCCAGTGAGGCAGCTGGAAGAGCTGTGGGCAAGACCTGCCCTAGGCACCAGAGAAGACATGATTCCAAAGCTGAGCTCAAAGAGGGTAGGGGCCCAGGAAGCAGGCAGGTGGGGCAGGGGCCAATTTGGGCATCATAGGATCCTCTTTTGTTCAAATCAGGAGTCCTCTAACCAATGGGGAGATGGAGGCTATATCTAAGTTGTCTCTGGGACCCAGGTGCTCCCTCTTATCCCCACCTCACCACCCAGACATATCTTCCCAGGGGGGTCTTTGAGGCAGAAGGCATGCTTTTCTGCCCGCCCCCCTCTAAGAAGCCCACAATAGATACGATCTATTGCCTTACCCCAGCTAGCTGGCTGTCCAGCCCTGTGCTAATCCCCAGGGGAAAGAATTTTTGACCTGGAGGAGACACTGATCAGACGCAACCAGATCTTGCATGGTGTCTCTGAGCGGCTGGCCCAAGCAATTGGAAGAGCAGCTGGGGTTCCCAGGCCAGGCCAGGCCTGAGGGAGCCTGGGTGATTGGACCCTGGAACAGCCATGCAGCCTGGAGAAGCTGACTCCTTACACACTGGATCCCAGGCACCAGTGGCTCCCTGTGTCCAGAAAGAAGAGCAAGCACTGTACTTGGGAATGACTGTCCCCCAAAGTCTGGAGGAAAAGAAGGGCAAGGGTGAAATGCTGCAGGTCACAACAGGGTGGACCTGCCAGGCAGGGGATTGTGCTGGAGGGTAGCTCTGCACAAGCAAATGCCCAGGGAGCCTCACAGCTGAGGCTAGAGAGAGGATATGTCAGGTATTTTGATGTGGGTCTGTAGACAATTGACGAAAGTAGACTGGGTGCCAGTTTGCATGTAGCTTCCCATGTGACTTGATTCACACATGGCTTGCTTAATGCTCAGATGCACCGGAGTCCTTGTTTCACCTCCTCCTTTGCCATCTGGCTTCTCCCCAGGGAATCATGCCCCATAGCATGCCCAGCCTTGGGCCTGAGAGTTGCATTCAGTCAAGATGTTAGATGCTGGTCAGAAGAGGCCAGCGACTCCTGTGATATTTGCTGAGCTCTGGTAGCTTGAAGTTTGAATCTTGTGTCCTCAGACCAGGGCAGCTGAGGCTGGTCTACTGGAGTGGGGAAGGGTGGGGCACCACACTCTAAGGCTAGGTCTCTCTAATCCTACTCCCTGCCAGATTCTATTCACCCCAAAGACGCCATTTCTCCAGGCTGCTCAGCAAGGCAGGGGCCCAAGCACTGGGAGTTAGCTGTTACTGGCCACAGCTTGAACTGTGCCCTGGGGGAAGTGGAGAGGAGAGGACTGAATTGGGCCTCTGCCTCCTTCAGGGGCAGAACCACTCCTGGAAAGTGGAGGGGTTCTCAGAAACCACCAGTGTCTGCATGGGGCGGGGGGGGGTAGGGACCACCCTCAGGGAGAGGAGTTTGAGAGCAGGGGGAATCCAGAAGCCAAATGGACAGGGGTCAGATAAACTCAATGTGTCCATAATAAGGGGGGCCAGTAATCTGGCAAGGCCTCTAGAAGAAAGAGGTGTGCAGTGCCCTGGGGAAGGTGGACTCTGACAACAGAGGGGCTGTGCCCCGGGCCACAGAGAAGGGGCTTGCTTTTCTTCAGGACTCTGCTGAGCACCCTGAGCTGTGGACAGTGGACTTGCTCCAAGACCTGCAAGAGATGAGGTAAGGGCACAGGGCTAGGAGGGGTCACGAAGGCAGAGGGAAAAGAAGCCCCACTCCACTTGCTTCTCTGCCCAAAGTTTGTCTGTCAGCCCGTGATCCCTCCTGTCCTTTTCTGAGCACCCAATCCAAAGCCTGGCACACAGACAGGAGCTGGGGCCAGAGTTAGGTTTATCGAGTTGACCTGAATTTAATTGAATCAACATTAAAGTTTTGAAAATGTGCGTTTAAAAGCACGAGGGCCCCCTACTCAACATTCCCACCCAGAGAGGGTTAGTAAATCTGAGCTCCTGGAAGGAGGGGACATTTTGGTCGAGTTCTTGGAAGGAGCACAGCCAAGACCTAGTTGTGGTAGGTGGTCTCTGACTTCCTTTGCCTCCTCCTGTTTCCCAGCATCCTACTCTAGGACAGGTGTCTGGAGCTACCCCCTGGGGGCAGGGGGTCACCTTCATGCCAGGAAGGAGGGAAGCTTCAGTATGAATGCTGTGGCTGTAGACCAAGCCTTGTCCCCCATCTAGACTGGGAGTGGGAGGATGGGATGAAGGAGAAGAGCTAAATCCCCTGGAAGCTGGAAGTGAAAGGCAGAGCCTGGGGAGTTTGAGACAGAAATCTTCAGGGAGATCTTTGAGCTAAAGCTGTCTCAGGATCCAGGAAAGAGGTTTGGGGTGAGAACAGTCCCCAAGAAGGGGTCCTATGGATGATGCCTGTTCCCCACCCAGACGCTGCCTCTGGGAATTATGAGAAATGGTTAGGCAGTTTGGGTGCAACCGGAAAAAAAGGAATGAGTCCCCTCCCTTGGCTTCCACTCCCCACCAGGGATGCAGCAACTCACATAGCTCCAAGAGCCCAGGTCTTCTATCTGCCTGTGGGCATCAAGCATCTTTTCTTAGAGTTGACTCAGGCCTGAGCCTCCTGCAGAAAAACCTTTGGGGCCCAGTGGTAAGGGGGAAAGAAGCAGCACCATGGGGGTTCCACCCCTGAGATCTGGGCTCAGCCCCTTTCTCCAGTGCTGCTGCAGCCCCAGGCCCTCCTGCGTTAGCCCTCCCCTCCTGGGACCCTGGAAGGCACACTTGTGTCTGTATTTGGGTGTGCGTGCACATGTGCACACAGGGACACATCTCATCTTCTCTCTACTCTCTGCTCTCTGGAGAATCCCACAGACTCTCAGCACCAGCAAGGCCCTGGACACCACTTGGTGAACTCCTTCAATGACTAGAAGAGAAATGGGAGTGTGCTGTGCCCAGGGTCACTCAGAGCAGCCTGCTCTTCCCCATACCTCTGCCCCATCTTGCTCTTTTTCTTGCCTTTACCACCAGCCTGTCTTTTGCTATTTCTTTTTCTCTCTCATCTCAAGAAACTTTGGCCCCATGATGATCCAAGGCCCCGGGGCTTCCCAGCTGTTCCCACAGATGGAGACATGGAAGCTGAGGCAGGGATGGCAACTTTGTTCTCTGCCCTCTCCCCAGGTGCCCGGGATGAAAACCCGAGCACCCCAAAGCCTGAGATAGGAAAACAGAGCCCACAATGGCCCAGATTCCAGATCCCCTCCCTCCCTCTGAGTAAGAAGCTGATCCAGGACCTTAGAACTTTTCCTTTCAGAAAGCAGCAGCCACGGACTCCTACCTACCTGGCCAGCCCCCAGGGGCCTCCTTGCGCCTGCAGCCTAGCATCTTCCTGTTCTTCCTTCCTATCTAAATTGTAGGTTTCTTCTACTACATGCACATCAGGGAGGCCTTCCCTATGGGCAGGACTTTCCACCCCTACCTGGCTTGGTTCTGGGGCACAGTCATTTGACTTGTGAGAAGGACCATTAAGGCCCAGGTCCACCTGCCTGGTCTACCAGCTGGCAATGAGCATGGCCCACTTTTTCAGTAAGCACTGCTAGCCATTTTTTCAGCTGATCCCATCTGGATCCTGCCCTCGCAGAAATCACTCTCTAATGTGAGAAACTGACAAGCACATGCTAGTCACACCCTATGTGGTCAGTGCCATGATGGCAGGAAGCTCAGGGGCTATAACAGTACAAGAAAATACATTTGACTCAGCTTGAGGAAATCAGAGAATCAACCCAGAAGGGACATTTGACATGGGCCATCAGGGCAACTAGTTTTCCAACCTGATAAGTAAAGGCATGAATACAGAGAAAACAACATAAGAAAAGGCACGGAAGCATGAAAGAAACACAATATTTTGGAGAAAAAGTGGCAAGTTTAGTACTGTCAGAGCAAAGAGTGGGATCAGTTTGTGAAAATGGGCAAAAAGAATCACAAAGATTGGGGGGAGGTCACTGTTTCTACTTGGTGGATGTTTGTTGAATGAATGAAACATTTAGAGATGCAGGGTGTGCTAAAGAGCTCAGAAATGAGATTGATAGTTCTTGGTGGAATTTCAAAACAAGAATAACCAGTATAGGCAAGGGTGTCCTGGAAGAGCAAGGAAGTGTGCTGAGCTTTAAAAGTAGAGTTGAAGAGGGGACCACATCCAGGTGAGGGGAACAGCCAACATATGAGGTGGAATGATGACAGGCTTATGTGTCGCATGGAATACAATGGTGGCCATAAGGCTGGAGCCACCTGGACAGAACTTGAATGCCAGGGAGAAAGTGTGGTGCTGATAGGGCAGGCCAAAGGAGCCATAGTAGGTCCCAGAGCAGAGGATGCTGTGGTGCAGTGAGTGTAGTAAGTGTAGCAAGCCTGTTCTCAGAAGCTCAGAAGGGAGAGGCCCAAGTAATCTTCTCTCCCTAGGAGCAGGCTGGACAAGAGCCTTTAGGACTGTCTGGCCACAGGCAGCCTTTCCCTTAGTCCTGCCCCATGCATCCTTAGGGCCTGAGGGTTCTGAGGAGGGACTCCTTTCCCTGAAGGAGTGCTCACTTCTCATCCCTGGGCAGTGGATGGTGTCCGGGAGGTGGAGAGTGAGGCCACTTCCCTCTTGGTGCCCAGCTTATATCCACACCCCAGCTTTTGGCGAAGCTGCAACCTTATCCAAGGTGATTTCCCTCTCCCCATGCTTTTATACGCTTATTTACCTTCCATGTTTGCCTTTATTCCTCTGGAGAGGTAGCTGGGAGTGGACTTCAGGCAGGCAAGGAGGCCAAGGGCTGCCTTGACCACAAAAAGACTGGATACCCCACAGACCTTGAGCCCTGGACAACTGACCCCACATTCTTCAGAACAAGGAGAGGTGTCTCCAGGTGCCTGTCTTGGGTCAATCCAACCAGTAACACCATGAACAACTCTGTCTCCTAACTCCTTTCAGCCCCAGGGGTCATAGGGGCAGGCCTGTGATGGAGAGTTCTTTGAGGCAACCCACGGGGCCAAATTGGCTTTCCCCATTCTCTGACCTCCCTCCCTTTCCCGGTGTGAAGCTCTTCAAGCAGCTGCTGGGCAGCAGGTTGGGAAGAAAGATGGGGGATGGCCCAGGGCTGGATTTTTGCCCCTCACCGCTACTCTCTGGGCAGAGTAGGGAGCAGGGTTCCTGGGACACAAATCAGCACACCCCGTTCCCTTACAAACCATCCCACCTCCCAAGCCCCTAATCCGTGGTCTGCGGTCCAGGACAGGGTTTGGCGGGGGGAGGAGGCACGTGGGAGAGGCGGGAGAACCGCGGCACGTGGTCCAGCCTCCTCATCCCCGTGCACTCCCCCTGCCCTGTGCGGAGGGGTTTGCGAGATGGGGGCGGGGCCTGGGGTGGAGAGCAGGCGGCAGGCAGTGGCGGGAGCTGTCCGCGAGCCCTAGTTCTGAAGTGGGAGAGGAGGTGCCCGGCGCCCGGTTCCGGGGCAGCGAAGACGATGGCGTTCATGGTGAAGACCATAGTGGGAGGCCAGCTGAAGGACCTCACCGGGAGCCTAGGGGGCGGCGAAGACAAAGGGGACGGGGACAAGTCAGCAGCCCAAGCGCAGGGCATGAGCCGAGAGGAGTATGAGGAGTATCAGAAGCAACTTGTGGAAGAGAAGTGAGTGGGACCCTTTTCCGGCTCCAGTGGCCCTCTCCCCCGCTCCACCCCTAAGCCGCCGGGCCCACCTCTAGGCAGCCTAAGACCCCAAGCTCTGCCCCCCTCTACTTTTCTAGACTGGTAAGAGGCTGGGATGTGCACTTCTAGGCTGCGCTCCCCAGCCACAACATTTCAAACCCAGGACGCCACCCCAGCTTCACATTCGGCCTAAGGAAGTGGGGGCAGGGGCAGAAGGGGCCTGGGACCCGCTGGGGGCACGTGCATTTCTGCAGAAACAAGTAATCCTTTAATCCGATCTGGTCCCCACATCTGTGTCTTCCAAATGGAGCTCCTCTGAGCTTGAGGCTCTCAGAGAAGCGGTGCAGCTGAGGGGGGCCCAGAGTCAGGGAAACAGATTCTGAGATGGGGGCATTCAGAGATATTGAGACCACTTGCATGCGGACAATGCTGGGGCAAAGAGACACCTGGAGTGGAGTTAGGGGCTGGACTCCAGAGCTCCTTGGGTCAGATCCTGGCTTTGCTTCTTTTTAGCTGGGTGATTTTAGGCAAGTTACTTAACCTTTCTATGCCTTGGTTTCCTCTTCTGTAAAATGGGGGTGGTAATTATAAGACATGGCTTATATATTTATGAGGATTAAATTACTTAATGCAAGTAAACTGCTTAGCACAGCACCTGGCACATTGTAAATCATTAAATGTTAGCTATAATTATTTCACTTAATCTTTATAACATTTTTATGAGTTGCAAAATATTATCTTCATTCTACAAAAGAGGGAAGTAAGTGACTTACCCAAAGACATACCAAAGGTAGTAATGCAGCCATACGTGAACCCAAGTCTGTTTCAAATGCTGTACCCCCACTGCAAACAACCTGTCTGGGGAGAGAAAGACAGACTGAGTTTGAGGCAGAGAGGGCCCTGTGCTCTGCAGTCTGGCAGACTGACCCTCTCTCGGCATAGCTCAGCCCAGAGGCAGATGTGGGGACTAGAAAGGGCGCTGTGATCGGGGGACAGAATGCAAAGACCAGCAACATCTGCTAGGTCCCAGCACCTTCCTGACACACAGGACCACAGGTGCCCATCCCCTTAGTGCTGGCAATGACTCCACCCCGGTGCCCCCGTAGGATGGAGCGGGACGCACAGTTCATGCAGAGGAAGGCAGAGCGGGCCACGCTGCGGAGCCACTTTCGAGACAAATACCAACTGCCCAAGGTAAGCTCAGGAGCCAGGGCTGCAAGGTATATCTGGCCCCTGAACCTCAGGCCCGGACTCCTTTGTCCCACTCTGAGTCGTAACTCTCAGCTCCTAAGACTGATAGAGGGCTTGGTTAGACTGTTCTTTCACTCATTCACAGTTAACTGGAGCTCACCTAGGATTTGGGCTTGGTGAGGAGGGTAGCCCAGTCCCTAAAACTGATAAGTTTGTGTTTCTGGAGCCACTCTAGTCCCCTTCTGTTCTCCAACCCATACTCTCCCAATATGAGTGAGGCCCAGGCAGATGAAGGGTTGGAAGGCAACAAATTTTTCCATGGGAGTGAGGGCTCTTGAGGCTTCTGAACACTCGGGGAGGGCAGGGCGGGCAGAAGAAGGCAGCACTCTCTGCGTGCCAGACACTTGACCTGCCTTACCTACCTAACCCCTCAGTAATTCTGCCAGGTAGCTGTCACCCACATCTACAAGTAAGGAAACTGAGACTCATATAGATTGATGGACTTGGCTAAGATCATGAAGCCACTGAGTGATGGAGCTTAAGCTTGTGAATGCTGAGCCTGCTCCAAGACCCCTGGCTGCTTTCCAAGGCATGGGTCTGTCAGCAGAGAGCAAAGTAACTCCTTGGTTGGCCAGGCAGCCAGAAGGATGTTTTCCCTAGGCACTGCAGCACCGGATGTGCTGTAAGTGTTCAATTCCTGTTGCCTAAGAAGAGAGCTGGGGCACAAGCCACGGTCAGTGCCCCGAATTATAATAGACCCTGAACAGGAACAGAAATACAGTGCTATATAGTATGCCGACCTTGATCTTCCACTTGAATTGGAAGACCAGATATGTAAATATCATAACCACTCATCCAGCAAATATTTTCTGAGGCCTTGGCTGCCTCTGAGTCCCCACAGGACACAAGTCTTTTGGAAGTCTCTCCAAGGGAGAACAGGTCCAGGAAACCTGCCTTTCTGGGAGGTAACTGAGTTAAACATAGCTAGGGATGGAGTCATTCCTCAAATGTTTGTGTTAAGCATATAAGAGCTACAACTGCTGCTATCAGGGAACTCTGAGTCCAGCAGAAGAAGCTTCCTTCTTCTGTGATTCCTGGCTGTAATTGAGCAGGACATAAAGTGGCCCTCAAGGGATAGGGAAGTGTGACAACAAGCAGTAGGCACCTTGCAAAGAGATCACAAATGTTGGTATCAGTGACACAGGTTTACATCTAGCTCTCCCACTCCAAATTGGACAACCATAAGAAAGTTACTTATTTAAATTGTCTGAGCCTCAATTTCCTTATTTGTAAAATGGAAAAAAGCAATAATTGTGAGAATTAAGGGCACTCAGCTCAATGACAGCCATGTAATAGGTGTTTGATGAATGGTACCCATCACTATTACTGGTAATGTCCTCAGTGTAGTTAATAATAGTCAACATATGACTGACTATAACAGTTTGACTCCTAGGTGTTTCCATTTTGCCCTTAACTCACTCTGTTAATATCTTAACTTCAGTATTTCAGAGTGAAGTAAGGTGGCATAAAAGTCTGAATGCGTCAAAAGCTTGATCCTGAGGTGTGTGGGTGAGCTCACAGGAGCATGGTCTTAGCATGTAGGACCCTGGAACCCAGTCCAGGCCTCCTCCCTAGCCCCTTGGCTTGGGTCCCCATATGCCCCCCACCGCAGTCCAACTCTCCCTTCTCTTCAGAACGAGACAGATGAGAGCCAGATCCAGATGGCAGGTGGAGACATGGAGTTGCCCCGGGACCTGGCCAAGATGATTGAGGAGGACACAGAGGAGGAAGAGAGGGCCTCAGTCTTCGGGCAGCTGGCCAGCCTTCCTGGCTTAGACCTTGGCTCCCTCAAGAACAAGGCCCAGGCCACACTGGGGGACCTCAAGCAGTCAGCTGAGAAGTGCCACATCATGTGATTACTTCCCCTGGGGGTGCTTACAGGTGTGCCCAGAGGGCTGGGGCCACATGTGCTTGAAAAGCATGTCTCAACTTCCGTGGACCCATACTCCACCTTGGCTTTGTTTCCCCTGTACCAGTCTAGATTAGGACCCTTCTCTGACCCAGCCACCTTCTGGCTTCTCTCTCTCTCCTCTAGGAGCAAAGTCCCCATTCCTCCCCCTACCCTCTCAGGATGCAGCCTCCCTGCTCAGCCTGGGGAAGCCTCCCAAGATTGTAGGAATAGGCCGTGGACCAAAATTTCTACACATAGGTACACCCAGAGAGAGAGGCAGAGACCTTGGCACGTGCAGAGTTGTACACCACAGATGCATCCTGGCACACACAGACACACACATGGACCAGCCCCCTGGTGCCTAGCCTCTCTAGACACCAACGCTAAGATATGCTTAGAGAGGGCTTCAGGCAGGCACCCTCAGCAGACAGGAGGTCTGAGAGTGAGTCTCCATGTTTATTCTCCTTGAAAAGCACTGCTCTTTCCAGGCCTCATTTCATCATCTATAAAACGGGGATGAACTGGGTGATTTTTAAGATCTTTCCAGCTTGGTCTCCCAGGACCCTCATAGTCAACCCCACATCCCTCCTTGGGCAAGGCAGGTGCTGCCACCGTGGGCTCTGGTTCTTGGGAGCTGAGTGATGCTGTGCAAGCAACAAGTACCAAGCATGAAGCTGGCACCGAACAGTAGCTCAGGAGGCTCCAGGACTTCTCTGAGCTGAGGGCCCAGGGACTAGCCAATTTCTGTTTTGTTTCTGTAGAACTCTCTGGATTCCACAGCTGAATTTCCTCACTCAGTTCAGTGAAAAGAAAAATTCCAGCCCTGACATGTGTATCTTAGTTGGGCATCGTCCCTGCAAACCAAAAGGTCACCAGTTCGATTCCTGGAATCCAACTCAGACAGTTTGGGACATATGTCTGAGTTGCAGGCTCAGTCCCCAGTCGAGGCATGTGCAAGAGGCAACTGATTGATGTTTCTCTCCTTCCCTTCCTCCCTCCCTTCCCCCTCTAAAAGTAAATAAATAAAATCTATTTAAAAAAGTAAAAATAAAAATTCCAAATGACCTGCTTATCTTCCTACTCCTTACTGATCTGTAAAGGTCTTAGGGTTCATAGCCTCCCCAATCCTTCTTTGGAGGGGGTGTCCTCTACCTCTTCACCACAGCTTCATAAGAGCACCAGCTCCTATGTAATGTTCCAGCTCTACCCTCTGGACAAGGGTGGGGTCCCCCAGCACTAGCGGGGATCAAGCACTAAGTTTAGCCTCTGGGCTTTTAGGAGAATGTGGCATCCAGCTGGATGGGCAGGGCCTCTGGGTTGTTACCTGAGACCTCAGGAGGTGCCACAGCTCAACCCCAGCTGTGCCTGGCACCTGTGCCTCTACCCCCTCTTCACCTTGGAGACGGAAGGTGTGACAATAGAGGGCAGGGCGACTTCATTCCAGGCCTGGCACTGCTGTGTGACTTTGAACAGGTTCATGTTCCTCTCTGAGCCTGTCTCCTCTGCTGTGTAATGAAGAACCCCCCCACCATCGCCATCCAAAAATAACAATAAATGTTTCAAAGGGTGACCATTTTAAAGCACTTGGCACATGATAGGCCATGTCAATAAATGGTAACTCATTCTTTGAAAAAAACCAAAGAGCACAAATCTCATCCTGCTTAGCTGTGGGTGTCCAGGGAAACAACCAGGAGGCTCCACAAGCAGGCCACCACTGAGGCCTGAGCAGGGTGTCGACACCACCCCCGACCCCCACCCTGGCACTGGCTTGTGGAGAAGATTTACAGGAACAACCACCATCCATCGGAGGGTTTGGTTTCAAAGGCAATTTCCATTAGGCCTCCTTTGCAAAATAAGAACAAAGCACAGAAAACCTGTACAAGGGGTGATGTGGGCAGTGTCACATGGAAGAGAGAAGAAAGGATGAGGAGTTAGGAAGGTGAGGGCAGGGAAGGACGCAGGCCCAGGGTTGGGCAGTGCTGTTGCAGCTGTTGCGCTGGATCCTTCTTGAGCATCCCCTAGGCTGTCCTCTGGTTGTCACTGGACAAAACCCTTTGCTGACCTTCCTGGAGCTGGAGGAGACCTAAGTCCAGGCCCTAGGCTGTGTGTGCGGGAGGAGGGAGCATGGGCCTCCTCACAGTGTCGGCAGCAAGGCCCGCACAGCACTTCGCCTTCCAGGGGCATCCTGCCTAATGGGATCAGACAGACCACTTTACCCTCAAGGGCTCACAGGAACAAGAGTGAAAGAGGCAGGGAGGTTGGGCTGTGGGGAGACCAGGGTGAGCACTCCCTGAACCCTCACAAAACAGAATGGCGGGGGGGGCCTGAGGAGGCTCTGAGGTAGCAGGAGCCAGCTCCTGTGCTCAGCAGAAACGGGCAAGGCAGGCAGGCTAAGCGTCCCCCCCGGCTCTGCAGGCCTCGTCCTGCTTCCCCTCTTCCTGCGCCTGCTCACTGGCTTCTCTGTCAGTCTGTGCCTCTCTCATTCCCATCCCCCCACCCTCTGGCTCATGCCTGGCTCACACTCATCCTACACCCACGCCCTCAGCTGGGGGCTACCTGTCCCATCCCTAGGCCATCGGGTCCTCTCTGAGGAAGACTGCTCTCTGCACATCCCACTTCTACTCCCATTTGTTTAGAAATCACTTGCTCCATGACTAGTCCTCCCACCTGCTATTATGTGAGGGCAACAAAGAAAGCCACTTCCTGTCAGAATTTCCCTTTTCATAGTAATTAAAATCCCACTATTAAGGCCCTTAGTTCAGGGCAAGGCATTTATCTCCCCAGTCCCTCTCCCCGTCTCCCTCCTGTTCTCTTTCCCTCCTTCTTCTGTCCTCTCACTATCCTTCTCACACTTGCAGGCAGTCTGAGGGCTCGGAGATGCTGAAAGGCGATGAGACAGCCTGCCTACCACTCTTTCAGGAAGAGAGGGACAGTGAAGATGGCTGGCCTGCTGCCCCTCACCCCTACCCTTAGCCCCACAATACAGGGGGTGGGGTTCGGGGAGATTGGGTGAGCACTGGTCCCTGCTCTGCTCAGACCTCCTTCCACCCACCCAGACAGCCCAGGCCTGGTTCCCAGAGGGAGAGGGCTATGGACCTTAAGTGACTATCCTGAGACCAGTTGGTCTCCAAGGTTTGGAGCTGGGAGTCTCCCCGCTTCCCGCAGTGGCCAGCCAGTCCCTCCCCAGACACTGGAGGCTCCAGCAGGTGAGCTGAAACATCTGGGGAAATGTTTGCTGAGCTGAGCTGCTGGCAGTGCCTACTGACCCAGCTGATGCCTGAGGCTGCTTGGGGTGGGGAGCCACATGTGAGGGGACTGGAAGGGAGTCACAGAATCTGCCGCCTGGCCTCTAGCCCAGTACCCGCCAGGCAGAGCTGTTCCTAGAATCCACGTGAGGCTCTGAGACAGCAAGGAGGCAGAGCCTCACGTGGTGGGCTTGGTCAGGGGAGCAGCAACGTTGAGGCTGCCTCAGCCTTACTCAGCAGGGACTGTGCCTGCCTGCCTGAGCAGGAGTAGAAGTCTGCATGAGATCCACATGGGTCTCATGGCTTGGACATGGCTTTTGGTGTTTTGTATGTGTCTGAGGCCTGTGGCCCCTTAGTGTCTCTGTGGGATTTGAAATGGATAGGTGTGGGTGTGAGTTACTCTGGGGAAAAACAGTGACCGACGTGCCCCCTCCCTCGTGCCCCAGCCTCAGGGTTGGGCGATCTCCCTCTCAGAGGGCTGGGGTGACAGTTGTCTCCTAGACAACAGCTTTCCTAGATGACCTGCAGGAACCTTCCGAATCTTCCCAGTTAACCAAAGGGGTGGGCCGGGCACGAGGACACCTGGGCCCCACAACCTGATCCAGAGGCCCACTTGCCTGTCTCCAGGGCTGGCTCCTTGGGAGACAGAGGGTCCCAGGCCCCTTGGTGCTCCTCAGCTGGCTCAGTGCTGCTTTGGGGACTGAGCAGAGGTGGGAGAACAGGGCAGGGCGAGCCACCCTTATGCTGGGGAGGTGTCTGCCTTGCTACAGGCACTTCCAAAGTATTAAAGGTAAGAGGCAGAAACAACTCCTACCCCTAGGAAGGAAAATATTTTTTAAAAAAGCAAATTAGCTTATTTCCCACAGGACTCTGCCACTTGAAGGGAGCTCTAGAGAGAGAACCCCACTTCTTCCCCTGACCCCAGCACTCCAGCTGGGCTGCCTCTCTGCTTGGCAGGTGGCTCAAACACAGAGCCAGCTTAGAGGCCATCTAAATACTCTGCCCAGAGGGGGCCCAATCCGCCCACGCCCATGGTCCCACTTATCCAGCCCTCTGCTGGCAGGCAGCCAATGCATGCCGTAAACCATGAGGGTCTGTGGGCCCGGGGGCCCACCCCACATCCCGCCGTCCTAGTCAGTCAGGCTCTTTCCCCCCCAGTCTGCTCTACTCACCCCGACCAGCTCCGTTCATTCCCCTCCTCTTACTTACTGAGGCTTTTTGTCCAGCTCATTCCCCAAAATAATCTGAGGTATGTTTCTCTCCTACACCTGAAACATTTTATTGAATTCTTACTGTGTGCCAGGCTCTTGTACAGTTGCTCATTACACACTTACATATTTCCACAGGGCACTTCACTTTATCCTGGTTCTACTAAGAAAGAAATGGGCTAGTCCAGCAGTTTTCAACCATGAGCCATGAGAATTTTTACAACATGCAGTACCTGTTTAGTCAGGGGCACTGACCTCTCTTCCCTTAGGAGGTCCCCAACTTTTTGGCACCAGGGACTGGTTTTGTGGAAGACAATTTCTCCACAGACCAGGGGGCTGGGGAGGTGGAGGGAACAGGAGGCAGAGCTCAGGTGGTGACATGAGTGATGATCAGCGCCTGCTGTGCAGCGCCCCACCACGGACCAGTACCGGTCCACAGCCTGGGGGTTGGGGACCTGTGCCTTAGACTGTCACATAAAAAAATGACAACTAACCCTATACCCACTTGGTGTGAATGAGTCAGAGTTACCCCTTTTTTGTCAGATCAGAAAAAAAAATATATATATGATTTTATTTATTTTTAGAGAGAGGGAAAGGAAGAGGAAGAGAAACATGGACTAGAAGAGAAACATTGCCTCTCACGCTCCCCCAACCAGGAACCTGGCCTGCAACCCAGGCACATGCTCTGACTGGGAATCGAACCAGCCACATTTTGATTTTGTGGGACACCCAATCCACTGAGTCACATGTCAGGGTGGCAAAAAATATAGTTTTTGGTGTGCTACTTAAGTTTAGTAATCAATTTATGTGTGCCATGAAATGAAAAGGTTGAAAATCGCTGGGCTAGTCAATGGGTTTCTTGGCCAAAGGGCAGAGCTAGGGTATTAGCCCTGTCTCCTGCTCTCTGGACCACTGTCCACACTGTCCCCTGATGGCCAGGCCGAGAACTTCAGGGAAAATAGTTCCCTCCCTTTAGATGGCTGAAAGACCATCTTGGTGGCTGGCGTCTGATGTATCTATGAACAGCTTCCTTGGTGCTTTCCGGGCGGGGAGGGCTTCCTATCCCTTAAGTCCCCAAAGATGCTTCCAAGTGCTGTTCAGCCCAAAACCTTGGGGTGAGGGGTAAGAGACTGCTGGAAATTACCCCACCTTTAAGGGATCCTGGAGGGCCGAGTATGAACATGAGATACCCTAGAGGATGCACTCTGCCCCATTCTAGCTCCCTGCTCACTCAATGGCCCAAGGAAAGAGGGGTGGGAGGCTGGGGGTCATGTCCAGGACAAGGGAGCATGCAGGGCAGAGCACAGGTTTTACAAGACTACCCACCATGGAAGCCACCCTTCTCCAGCTGCAGAGAGGAAGGGCCTTGCCTGGCACCCAGGCCTATGCCTGTCCCTCCCCACTAGCCCTTTATTAAAGATTTTTATTTATTTATTTTTAGAGAGGGGGAAGGAGGGAAACATCAATGTGTAGTTGCCTCTTGAGCGCCCCCTACTGGGGACCT